AAAGTTAGGCATTCACAAAAAAAAATTATCATGGTGAACATCGTTTCTGGGAACTTTCCAAACAAAAGTTACTGAAATATCGTACTTTAGCACCCTTTCATTTCAAACGAAAACCTTGACCTTAAAAACAAAGTTCATCAAGCTAACAATTTGTAATAATCTTGTAGTATTTTGGGTTAGACTAAAGCAGTTTGACCATGATATGACGTCAAACCCCATGACATCATTGCTTGGCATGTAATTAACTTTTTTTTTAAGCATCACCAGTGAAAAATCATCAACATTTTTGGGTGCCATAAAATATAAATTCATCATTAAAAAATTTTGAATTGACATTTATACAGTTTTTTTTTTGTCAAATAAATGAGCATTCACAAAAAAAACATTATCATGGTGAACATCGTTTCTGGGAACTTTTCTCAATCAACCAAATACTGCAACATGGCTGTAACCTTGAGCTCAGTTGGCTAGCATTGATACAGATAAATTCATGATATTTCCTGTAAGATGGTGTTTTCACAGAGCAATCAGGTCTGCTAAATCAAGATTTTTAAGATACCAGACTGAGGAGTGTGTTTGAGCGTCTCTCAGACCTCAAACTGAGGTTTTCACAAAGAAGGAGGTAAACCTGAAAAATGTATGAGAACAACAGTCTTTTCAATAACAAACAGGCAAACAGAATATGAAACAAAAACAAGGGCAAATGATTTTGTGAGTGGTGTGGAACTTGTAAAATGGGTGTGGTAAAACCTTAACAATTCACTGTGAGCATCCTGTAAGATGCACTAGAACAGAATCCAGTATCTAATATAACCCTAAATGAATATCAACTAAAATCTCAAGTTACATTAACAGTTTATTGTTAAACCAAGCAGAGTCACAATAGCAATTTAAGTAACATTAATTGTTTCCAAAATTCTACTTGAACTAAACTACTTATACTAAATGTAATTGCCAACACTTACATTAAAATGTTATTTAAGAGCTCAAAGTTATGTTATCCAAAATAATCACCAGATACTACATACATACTTAAAAGACAAAAAGTACAATATTTTAATTATTCATTAAATGAGCCTCAGTAAGTTCAATTATTCTAAGTCTTGAAAACCCTCCAAGGAAATTTTATTTAATTCTAATTCTGTCTTAAATAGGCAAACATGGTTCTAAACAAAAAACATAATAGCACTAACAGGCCAGATTTGCACAGAAACACACCTTGCACACATAATCCTTATTTATTGTGAGTCAAGTGGTAACTCCTGACTATTATCTAAATGTCACCTGTGATTTTCTATGCAAAAACTCAGTTAATTGCCAATTAGTGAACTCACATCTTGTATATATCAAAACAAGGGGAGTTGAAATATGTACTTGAGCAAATCTCTGCACCCAATCTGGATTTTATGAAAAACAATGTCAAAACATTTTACATCTTAACTGAAGGGGTAGAAAATATATGGGATCCATAGCTCTGTTACACTAGTATAACATGTTCTACAATGATGATGCAATCTAGGTAGATATCATGGCTAACCTCTAATGTTAAGATGGCCCCCTTCACTTGCTGTAGCCATATTAGAAAATGGCAATAAGCCCAGTAATTTTGATTGATTCCCTGTTAGGCTGGATTCTCTACAGTATGTGTCTGTTACTTGATGGTTAAAATTGCAACAATAAACAAACAGCAACACAGTCCTCTTGTTTTAAAATAATATATTTAAAACAAATCAAATGTTTGTCACACTGTTGGTTACCACAGTTGTATCCAGAGGTTTAAATAACTGTCTCTTTTTTTTTTTCATCAAAGTCCACCAGGCTGGTTCAGTTACTTTAGAACACAATTAACAAGACAAATTATTCTTCTCTACTTTTGTTATTACAAAAGTCTGTGATAATTTCACTTTAATAATTACCCCTATGCACTCTTTATCACTAAACTTATGATCACACAGTCTAGAACTAAAACTCAGTAATGATTTCTCAATACATATTTATATCTCGATAGAAGTCTAGAACATTCCATGCAGTAATACTCAATTTAACCAATGAGAAACTCGGAATGTTCTAGCAACATCATGCAATAGTCTCACTATTGTACACAACTGCTAATTCATAACAATTGAACTTGTTACATATTAGAATTTCAAATAGCCTGAAATTGAGTTAACTGATAAATTTAAATTTAGTAGTTAAATTGTACTTTGGATTGAGTAGTTAAATTAAAGCCAATATATAGTTAGTTTATGATATTTGCGAACAAGATTGATACACACAACAATACAATTTACAATAATAGTTATTACAAACAATGATTTATAAACAAAAGTTCTCACAAACTTACAAGCAATATAAAGTCTTCTTTCTAGTCTTGACTTTCTTCGATATCTTATCCATGGTTCACTATGAGCGAGTTAATTACGAGTTGATGTAGGTACGATTCGCTTAATGGGAAGCTAGCTATCTTTGTTCTATGTTATTCACTGGTCACATACGCTGAGTTTTCCATGATAAATTTATATAATGTTTCCGTAAAAACACTAACGTCCGATGAGAATCCACTGAAGTCAAATGATTTGTAATGTGCAAACTTTGTAAATGTTCCTGGCCAAATGTCTGAAGTTTTCTGATTGGTAAGCTGTATAACAATCACAGCTATAGCTTCCAAAGTTTATAGCACACTGACTATAGCAAGCTAATAATAGATATTCTTTTTTTGGAGTGTCTCGTTGGTTATATTTATAGGTGTATGGAGGGTTTCTAGAATATTCAGATTACGTAAAAATACAAATTTAAGCATTTACGTATATACCTATATTGTTGATTCTTACTCTAGAGAATCTTCAACAACTTTGGAGAATAGGTGGTAGTTTTGCAATACATATTTAACACTATAAGCTATGTATGTTTTTAGATATAAACTTAATATAAACAAACGTTGATATTAAAATAAATATAAATTAAAAAATTTGTTACAAACTACACAATGTAGGAATCATAAACAATTACATAACAAACTGACCATAAAATATTGCTTCCAAATATTTAAATATGACACCTGCACTACTATCTAAATCATAATTCTCACATTAAACTTAAGCTGAAACATTAGTGTCTATTGAACAATCCCTTAGGTCACTGTCCTCTGATGGAGGAAAATGTTTAGAGATGGTGTAGCCATATAGAAGCAGTAAAAGTTAAAGCATGGTGCAGCCATCTTGAATAAAGATATCCTTCAGCAACAGTCGTGATGTACTGGATGTTTCACCTCATTTAGTTTCAATACATAATGAGTAATAAAAAATCCTTTCATTACTGTTACTGTTTTGGTTGAAACTAATATCACCATATGAAAGCATTGTATTTTTGCATGGTCATTCAGCTTTAGTTTTGTTTAACAATTTTTCATGCCTAAAATGTTTAGACCCACCATTCACACACATGTATACTTGACTTTATGTTACTTTCTAAGCTTCTAACCTATCATACATATACAGCTTCATGTTTTAATTTTCATTGAATGCATTTTTGAGGTCATGATTGAACTGTTGATAGAATACTTATCTTTTCCGATATTCTTCTCAAAAGTTATTCTTATGATTGGTAGAAAAAATATTATATATATTTTTTTTTTCAGCCTCTTTCAAAAATATATCCTCAGATGATATTAAATAATTTCCAGGATTGCTTGAGTGTCAGTATCCTTAATTATGGGATTTTAGTATTGTCAAACCAGGAACTATCCCATGTAAGAGAAGTTTTTCTTTATTAGCGAACTCTGGAATTATACTATTTACACCTCATATTTATCATTTCCAATGAAGACATATTATTTTGTAAATTTTTTAAATCTTGGAGTATTTTAATCATCAAGAACTTCTAAAAAAACTCTCTTAGGCAACTGAAAAGAAATCATATATCAAGTCTTGGAAACTTTCAGTGAACAATGTCTAATACATAAACACACACATATTCTTAGTATTGCTGAGCATGAGCAATGCAAGGTATCCATTATTATTGTTATTCGTAAGATATGCTAATGCATTATTATTGAATTTAGAACTACCCATGAGAAATGCAAGATACTTTATACTCCTAAACACAAAGTTACTTCTAACATTGTTTATATGATAAATTATAATTTACTCATAAGGACCAAGTTATCACTTAACATTTTTCTATAGTGATTTACATATAATAAGTTAAGTTTTCTAAACATTGTTCATATGATACAAAATATTCATTAAGTTGTCACTCATACAACTATCACATCTAATTAATAACTGTAATTTTTGCATTTATTATATTCATATCTTTTTGCCATTAAAAAAAAAAGTTAAGAAATTGTACGACAGTTTGAAACTGTTATGTTTGAGCTAACTGGAAATGTAGAATACTTCAAACCTGAATGATATGTTTTTTGGAGTTTTTTTCTATTTACTGACAATATAAGATTAATGTAAAAGCACAACTCGCATCATACAAAATTTTATTAGACCTGTTATAACAAATAGCATTAAGCACACCTTTTTATTTAACTTTGAATAGCAATAAGCTTTCAAACATCAATTCAGATTATAACTATATATTTATGGATACCTATAGTGCAAAACATTTATAAGTACTACACCTACATGTGACGTTATATTTAGTTATAGCTGACCCTTCTTATTGGAAATTACACAAACCTTTTTGGAATCATCAACCACACTGTTAAAACTGAACTGTTCATTCAGTAATCAATATTTCTAATTCTTTTGCTGTTATACAATGCAGTCAAGCACTTGGCATGATATTTGCATTCAAGACCAATCATGTCTCCCCTTCTGAGTTTGCCCAGAAGTTTTGTGTATTTTGGTGAGGGTTGCACTCATACGTACACACCTGTCCAGCTCAAAGGTGGATGCCTCATGAAGCTCGTCAGAACCACCTGGCTGTTCACAGAAGAAACACAAATCCACGTCAGCTTCAGAAATGCTTGATGACCTTGATCTGGTGTGTTTATAGATACCTGCTGCATCTTTACTTCCATGAGCACTTCCTTGTAGTTGACTCTTTTCTGCCCTTTTCAGCATGGTATTGTTAAATTGCAGCCTGCATATTTTATGTCACTTGATATTGTTGGCTGAAAGACTCTCCTCAATACTATGACCCTCATCTAGCCTTGCCAACTGTAAGGTTCTTGGTAGATCTCCTAGATCATGAAACCTGATTAGGTATTTAGCCAGTGACTTGTATGAAGTCCGTTTTTCTGGTTGTTTTGATTGACTTGGACATTGGAGGGACTTATTTGTGTCTTCCTGACAAATTACGCATAGTTACCAGTTTATTGGGGATGGATTACTTTGTGATATGGATGGATGTGCTGCCTTTACAAACTTGAATGTCTTTGACATTATTAAGTGCATTTACTGTCCACCACTGTTAGTCTATATCTACACTTTACACTGTGCCACCAGGCACTAACACCATAGCTGTACACTAATCTTCATCCTAAAATATAAGAAACTTTTTTTTAAAGTTGATATATAAAATTAAGCAATAAACATTAGTGCAAGCACTTTATATTAAATGTGATGATAAAATGCATATACACAATATTGGACTACTATACTAATAATCTTAAACAATACACATGCTGAATGTAATTATTATTGTATCGTGGAGATGGTTAATTATTTCACATGCAGTGGGAAGCCAATATATATTACATATACTATATACATAAATATCAATTGAATTTTGGACACTGGTACCTGTAATGTTACGTAATGATAGGCTGTTTAAACCAGTGCATTTGTTTGCTCGGTTATGTAGTGGCAGGGACTACATGAAACACAAGCAAGATTTTGTAGTTTCCTTCCACTGATACTGTGATTGCTTGACCTGCTCTGGTAAGAAGACTATCTTGCTAGTTTGCCAGTTACTGTTAATGATAGTAAAGTTAATCCAAAATAAAAATAAATAAATAATGAATATTAGAAATAAAATAAATTATTTTGAGTTACTAATTCTTCCCACACATATCTGATTTGTAAGTGGCTTAAATATAAATGAAAATAATTACAGTTCATTTGTTTAATCTGGCTCACACCGTAACTGTTTTTGTTCATAAAAAACTGATGATATATATAGTATAAAGGCCACTACTGTGTTGATTTCATCCCAGCCAACTTGTTCAGCCCTAGTATTGGGCAAAAGGCCTCATTGGCACTAGATATGGCAGATGTAGTGTGGTTGACATAATATATTCCCCTTTGCTTTCATTCAAGGGCTCTTAGAATTCATTAGACTTAAATCAAGGATAGTTTCAACAGCATATGGAAGTGCCAAAGGTTTTTAGGATGTGGTCCCTATCATGTGTGGCATTAGTTGTATTATTCTGTATGAGGTAGACTGGAGAGGTTTGCAAATTTAGAATTGATTATCCCTGTTCACATTGTATTTTTACTACTAACATGTGCATTATGTTTCTCTGTGAAAACAGATCAAGTTTCATCTTTTCTGGAAATAAGTATAGATATGTTATGTAGCTGCAAGGTAAAACTTAACTCATCCTTAAAAATAATATTGTTCCACAAGTTGTAGGTTCACTAGTTATATTCCAGACACAATTGCAGGTGAGCTGATTTTTGCCTTGTTGTGAGTGTAATGCATCTCACTGGGCTAGACACACAAGCTGGTCTTATGAAGTTTGTTTCTAATAATTTTTACACTGATGTGACATTGAATATCAGATCCTAAATGCAATTACAGCAAGCTAGAATTTACAGATAGTGGACATCTGCTTGGTGTCATGGATGAGGTTCCACCTTGTCTTTGTGTCAAAATAACCATATTGTGAATGCCACATTCTGCTGATGACACTTTTTGTAACAGTGAATGCATGAGAGGGAAGTCATAGATATCTTTTATAACAGTTGTTTTTGCTGTGTATTTACTTTCTATAAAGCATAATCTGATGAGGTCTAATTTTTGTAATGTAACAAAATATCATGACTATGATAAAAAGGTAGAACAGAGGATTGCAAAAAAGCCTTGAGCTTCTGAGTCTTTTCACCATCTTAAAAAGTAATTACTGTTGGTACATGTGTCAAATATTGAACATTTTTTATACCACTAAGTTTTATTTTTCAATAATTCTATGAATCTATTGATTCTAAAATAATCTAGCTCAATGTTTGGAATTGAATTATTAAAAGTAGCTTCAGATTTGAGAAATTGAAAGAAAATTTAGAATATTTTGGAAGTATTATATAACAGTGATGTAAATGACACCATAAATGCATGAAAAAAGTGGGGCAAAAAAAAAAAAGGGAAGTGATAAAATAATGGGAAAAAAGCCTTGACTGTGAAAGATAAATCAAGAACATGACCAAAAATTCAGAAAAATGTGACCATTATGAATAAATATGTAGGATTCTGTAGAATATATTATGAATTTTAACTTCACCAGTTAAAGTTCATAGTATTATTAAGAAAATTTGATGAGTTTGATATTGTATAAAACTCTGTTAAAATAATAAATTTCAGGCTTTAAACTAGGTAAAGAGTAAGAAATGACAAGATTATCACCATAGAATAAGTTCAATGGATTTGAAAATGGATACTGTTGATGGTAAGGATGTCACAATATGAGATATAATATGGTTTCCACAAAACGAAAAAATGTGAATTTGCAGATTATAATGTCATAAAAGTATTTTGATTATAAAAATGTTATGAAAAGCCAGTTAAAGCCCAAACAAATTAAAGTAGCCAGTTGTAGTATAAAAGCTTTGTAAGCCACTGTCAACATTTTTCTCAGGGGTTATTTCATATATTCCAGTTTGTACAGTTCCAACAATATCCTACATAAGTGCAATCAGCTGTAGAGGCACTCACAATTTAAGAGAACAGTTCTACTTAGATGGCTCATAGAATTACAAAATTATATGAAATTATCATGGGAAGCATATCAGATTATTTCATAAATGATAATATGACAAAGAAGAAGCTGCCCAGTCATATCAACACTGAACAGTATACTGTAGGAAAGCCAAAACACTTAACAGTCATAGTTAGGATTTTTCTAGTTATTTATGAATGATCCATCAGAAGAAAATGTTATGAAGCAGAGAGAATGGAAGGGGGAAATATTTGCAGACCATGTGTTCATTGATTCACTGGTACATAACAAGTTAATTGATAACATTAAACACAATAAGAGGACTAGTTTGAGAAACTGCCCATCTTGCTGTTAGCTGAATCTGTGGACTGATAATAGAACACTTGTAATACCATCTTCTAATGCTTGAATAATCATGATAGCTGACAACAGTAGAAATGCCTAAGAAGAGATGAAGGATTGCACAACTCTGTATACTTCATGTTATTCCAGCAAAAGTTGCATAAAAGTGAAGTTTCTTTCTAGTATGGAGAAATAGAGAAAAATATTAATTAATGCTATCAGGGCCAATTCAGTGTAAGATAACAATGTGGGCCACATATTCCATCAAATTGAGTGATTTTGTTTTTGTTTATTACAACACTCAGTGTAAATAACTGCTCAAAAATTGGACGAAATTAGTCATTTATATATAAAATACATGAATCCACTAGCAGTAAGTTTGGAATTAATTTCTGTATTGATGGCATTCTTGTGTGACTCGTATGTTATTAGGAACCCTGTATTCAACAAAATCATGGACCCACCAGCAATTCAGTACATAAACAGTTCAGAATAACATGCATAAAAAGCTAGTAAATGTTCATTTTATTTACGTTAACCATGAATGCAAACAAAGAAAGATTACCCTGATGGTAGTTCTAGGGTTGAATGCAAGCTAGTAAAAGTCATTGTTGTTTTTATTTACTTTAACTGTAACTATAACTAAGAAAATATGACAAAAACATTCAGAGTAAAGTTTTTGTATCCTGCTGAACAAACACAAGGAAATGGATAGTCAAGCAGGCCCTGTAAAGCAGCCCTGTATGTTACACTGAGTGGGAAGAAAGGTATGAGTGTTAACAGGATCAGCCTAGAAAAAGACAAGCTGATGTTATGCAAATATTTCTACAGTTTAGTAACTTTAATAATAAATTTTCTGGTACAGGGTATAACTTCATTATTTTCAAGCTAAAGATACTGATGATGGCTCTACCTTAAGTAGACTGAAATTAAGAAAGCATATAATTGTGGAACACAGTAAACTTATTGCAGTATGCAGATAAAACTGGGTTAATCTTTGTAAGGTATCTTAGGATTATTTTTTATAAGGTTTTCCCACGTCTATGTTCTGTTCCAAGCCATTAAACCAAACTGATGGCATGAAAGCTGATTAAGTATGTGAGTATACAGATCAACATTGAAATTCTGATCAAACACAGGGTTTTGATTCAGTTCTGTTTGCCAAAATGTGGACCAAATTTCTTAGTCTTTCTCCATATGAAATAGTTGATTAATATACATTGTATCTGCACATTGTTATATCATTTATCCATATGTGTGTGGAAGAGATCCAGAACTTGAAATGTAGAACAAATATTTACCACTCCTGTTGATGACCTACAAAACCGTAACACAGATTAGTAGATAATTGAAGATGTAATCTGACTATTTCTGTGGTAGTCCTGAGAAATATTAATCTGAATATTCAATTGAGAAATATCATTGATAATATTTATGAGTTTGCTGTTTATGAGATGCTAGCTCACCCATTGACAACATGAAGAAACTTTCTGGTGTAAATGCCAACTTTGGGTTCTCACGTGATTAAGAAATGTACAGCCCTAAAAATTGACCACTACTTAAAAGGCCTACATATATTAGGAAAGAGAATAAGTGAAGTTACTCCCTATAAAGTGCAGCATATTCTATAAACTATGTGTGCCAAGCCAAAGGCTATTTATTGTTAGTTACTTTGTACATGTTATGATGAAAAGACAAGTGTCTGACTCTGTGGAAGTGGACAGATTTAAATAAACTTCTATCAAGTATCAATGTAAAAATATGAACAGATTGACAATGATGGTAGCCTTGATATTTATAGCAAACTAAAGCTCAGGGTGCAGAAAATATATTTTCAGGGTAAGGATCCTGAAGATGAAGTATTAAGAATTAATAGTTCAGTGAGAGTAATGTTTAACAAAAATATGTCATATTGTTTTTCTGTAAAAATGTTTTGTTTTTTTTGTGACAAGGCTTAAAAGCTATTATATTATCTGTGAAACTATTGTATTTTATATATACATAAAATACATCAGTAATCATTGAGGCTAGTAACAATAGCTTGTCAATAAAGTAGTGCAATGTGATTGTGTGAAAGTGTTTTTAGAATACCTGTGATGGTTACACAACCAGCATAGAGTAGTCCTTGGGAAAGTTGCATTTGTAAATTTAACAACTTACAGTTTTAAAAGTCAAACCCTGTTGAGTATGGCGAATTTTGTGTTAATGTTGCATAAAGCCACCCATAATAGGTTTAAGGACACTTTTGAAGCTATAATTTTTTTTTTACACCAACAGCAGAATGGGAACTTCAGTCAAGTGTGTTTGTAGATATCTTTTAAAAACTAATATCATTATTTTACTCCGAACTTTAATTTCTGATAAACATCGCCCCCCAGTGGCACAGTGGTATGTCTGCGGACTTACAACGCTAGAATCCGGGTTTCGATACCCGTGGTCGGCAGAGCACAGATAGCCCATTGTGTAGCTTTGTGCTTAATTGCAAACAAACAAATTGAAAAACGTGTACCAGAAGAAGAAAATGTATTTAATAAATGACACTGACGCTGATATTATAACGCTCATAATAAAGATTCCTCATATTAAAAGTGACATTTTGGCTTTGGCCATCTCTTTGAGGAGATAATTTAGGGTATAATGTTAATGTGTTTTCATAATACTAATATTACTCTTTAATTAATATATGTCCCCCAGTGGGACAGCACTAAGTTTACGAACTTACGACGAAAAAATCCGGGGTTCTGTTTCCCGTGGTGGATACAGCACATAGTCCAGTGTGTCTTTGATCTAAAAACAAAACAAACACACAATTGTTATATATTTTGTTCATCCCATATTCATAACCCTAGGTGTGTTGACTGGATCACTATCATAGCAGAATCCCAAAACGTCATCAGATGCGTTTTACGAGAGCTTTGACGTCATTATGATGGTGTTTTCACCTAGCTTGCAATTAATTTGTCAGATTGCCACAGAAATTAGTACGCGCGTACGAATATGGTTAGAATGTGATCGGCCGTTTAGCCTTGACATTACACAAATAAGATAAATAAATCACTATCCAGAGTCACATATTGATCTTGTTTGTTCGTAAGTATTTAATCCCGCATGACATAAGGATCGTCTTATCAATTTTCCATTATACCAATTAGTAGTGTAGAGTTAAATTGTGAATTTTGAATACTTTTATCGTAAGGTCACCATCTTTCAGTAGTTCACATAATCAGTCATAGCGCTATGTTTGTGTGTTGTCAGTTGCTTCTCCGTGGTAATTATCTGCACAATGTTCTTATTAAGTTTTATAACTTTAGGAATTTTGAAGTGTTGCATGACGACCTAGGAGCGCACAGCTTTAAAATTTACAATTACGCTCAGACGCCCACATCCCTGCTCGAGGGCAAAATTGCGTCAGTGAATTAGTATATATGTCTGAAATAAACCTGTCGACGTATTTCCAATATTAGCAAAAACTTCAGAATTAAAATTTATTTAATAAATGTTTGCATCACCCACAAAAGTGCCTCAGTGGAAAGTCTGAAGTATTTTAACCGTAAAAACCTCGCTTGGATACATATGGTAGACACAGAACATATATCTTATGTTGCTTTAGGCTTATCTGTAAACAATCAATCAATAAATGTTTTATTTAGTTAGTTTTATACGTATTTTTAATCGTAAGTTTTGATTTTGTGTTGATTTCAGTGCACTCTGAAAGAAAACGTTAATGTTTATGAATTTCCTGAATTTTTCTGAGTAGAATAAGGCACTCAGCATTCGTAGTCCTACAGGAGGAAAGTCATAATATTGTTGTGAGCTATATTTTTTAATGTTGTAATTTCTTTGTTGCTAGAGGGCGTAGTAACGCCTAATAGATTCTAACATAACGTCAAATTTTCTCGCATGTTCGAAGATAGTTTATGAATAGGAGGTAGTTGTGTTTAGTTTCTTCAAGAAATCAGTCAATGTGCTTTCGCGAAGTATTTTGATCTATGTTTACTGTCGCGCTTATTTTGTAAATTTGTGCAAATAAACCGAATACAATACACGTTCAATCATTAATATTTTACATTACAAAATGATGAAGTGTGCTTCGCTGGTAGAGGGTTCTTAAATGGGAGCTTCAATTGTGAACGTTAAATCAACATTGACATATCGTGGCTTGAAAATTGTATTCATAATGTTGTGTTGAGGAGGTGCTAGAACCAGATGTCTTGAAGAAACTTATGATTCTAGTTTGTTTTGCTTTTATACTTGTTTTACTTAACACTTCTTGATAGACATTAATGACTTTCTGGAAATATTGACTGAATTGGTAAAGTCATATGGTGTCTGGATCTTTCTGTTTGAAACTGCTCTCCACTGCTCTTAATAGGGCTATATTTTTGGCAAAGCTTGTTGGTGACAAATGAACATTTGCTGTGTGTATTTGCTTTTCAGTTTTTAATTAGTTTTACCATTGGATGATTCAGTCATTTAGAGAAGCTCTGTAGCTGTTAGTTCTTCTCAATGGCAATCAATTTGCTCCTCCACTGTGATGTCCTCAAATTCTAGGCCTGGAATTTCTCGTGTAATTTCTACAATTTCATGAACTTCTCTTTAGGTACCTGGGAAACCCTCAACGTCGTTGACGACTTCTAGCAACAAGTTCTTCCATGCTACATTCAATGTCTTCTGTATGGCATCCCAGCTTTCTCTTATTTTCATTATGGCATCTCTGATAGTGCAAGACTTCCAGAAGTCTTTTACACTGGCTTCTGTTTTTTCTTTTGATTGCAGCATACTTCTGTGAAGATTTTCGTATAAAGTCTTTTTTAGATATATACGACTATTTCCTGTTAAGTGTGATACAAGTATTGAATTTAGTTATGTTTAGAAGGGACAGTTTATTGCAGCTTTGTTTATGTAATTGGATACGATTCATAGATTCATACGTTGTGTAGTTCAGTTGTTGTGAATTGGTACTTGTTGTTTTATTGCGCAATGTTAATAGATCCTTGTAAGTTTTCTCCTTGTTTTAATTGAGTATTACTGCATCATAATATCTCGTAGTGTATATAACGTTCTAGGCTTCAGTCAGGCTATGAATACGAGTACAAAATGTAGTTTGAGTTAATTATATAGTTAGACAAAGTTAGTTAGATAGAATATATAGATCTAGATTGAGTGATTGTGAGTTTAACCAGAAAGAGCGTATAGTGGAGATTTCTAAAGTGAAGTTATCACAAATTATATTGTAACAACAGAGCAGGAAGAATAATTCGTCTTGTCAAATTGTGTTCCAAAATAACTGAAACAGCCTGTGTAGGTTATTTAAAGCTCTGAATACAACTGTGGTAATTAACTGTGTAATGAACATTTGTATATACGTTTGACTTTAGATATATATTATTTTAGAACAAATGGAATATGTGCTGTTTGTTTGTTGTTGAAATTTATTGCCAACAAGTCACAGACACCTACTTTGAATAATCTGTCCATCCATACATTAAAACCTGACAGTCTTTTGTTTAAATTGTGCATTTATGCCCTGATCAAGCATCTGTTTCAGTGATGTTGTATTTGGATTAAGGAACATATTGATTTCTGGGTGCATTTTTTGTAGATATTGTGGGTGGCTGTTTACATTGTCGAACAGTAGCAATGCTTTTTTGCAAGGTTTTTACTTGTGAAATAATTTTCTACCCTTGGAATAAAATAACTTTCAATCCAGTCACTGAAAAATCTGCAATCATCCAAGCTGTTTTATTCAATTGCCAGTATACAGGCAGAAGAGAATGTGGAATGCCTTTTATTGCCCTTGAGTTTTTTAAATGGCAAATTAACATGGACTTCATCTTATAATCACCACAAGCATTTGAACAAAACATCACTTTCAGCTGGTCTCTAGCAAATTTAAATCCCGGCGCAGTCTTCTCCTTCTACCTGCTAATATAGGTTTCGTTGGCATTGAACAGCTGGTAAGATCTATAACCACCTGCAGCATTTGCCATTTTTACATTCTTCAGCACCCTGAATGTCTGCACTTGCTTCGTCACCAGTAAGAGAAATGTTGTGGAGGGCACACCTTTTTTTTTTTTAAACCTAACAAATTATCCAGTACTTGCATTGAACACTATGCTATCTTGTTTGCATAGCTCCTCATGAATCATCTGGGCCTTCTCTCTTGTCATCGGACTAGTCAGAGGAATATAGTGTTGAGTCTGGTCCTTAATTTAAGTCGTCAGAGTTTTAGTTTTTATATGCTTTGCAGTTTTAGTTGTTTTTTCGTTCACCTTTTTCTTTGATAGGCAGTACAGCAGATCTTACCTTCTCCGTCTTTTTATAAGTACGAATGGTTGGCTCACTTACGCCATATTCTCGCTCTATTTTGCTTGATGACTCACCGAAACGAAGACGATCTAGTATTTTCACCTTCTCCTGGAAAGTAAAAAAAGAAAAACATTTTGCGTTTCTTAGAATTCCAAGGAGGTGAAGGAGCTGGCCTATTATAAGACATGTTATCATTATTCACACCGGTTCTTAAACTGTTATTAATATTAATCCAAGATTATGTGTTCACAAGGTTAGCCACAAGACTGGCGGGAGATTGTCGTACAACACATATACATAATGCTAGCTAGACCTGAGTATAAGGTATTGTTGTGTCAGCGAGATCACGTGACTAGTATCACGCCACCCGTTTTCTAGAACTATCCTGTTCCTTCGGGAGTGCTCTAGCATTTGCTAGATTGGGGTGGCTGGTATATATAAGATGGTCACGGCGTGACGTGACAATGTGTGTAGGTAGTGAGTAATTGAACTGCATTCAGAAAGTATTGCTGAAGTTAACGTTCGTTGTTAAGAGTTTGTTATAGAGCGACTGTTGAAAATAAGTGTATCGGTAAAGTTATATTCAGAAAGAATAAACCAGTTTTATTAAGAAAGGACTTGTGTCACTAAAGTTTCGTGGGAACGAAGTTACGGAAAATCAACTAACGAACGGAGACCTAACAGTATTAAAGCCAAAGATGGGCTGTATTCAATTTTGTTACAGTAATTTATAAGCGTATGTACTGTACAGTATAAATACCAAACATGAACAAAAGGAAAGAAAAACTGTTCGAATTCTTTCATTAAGTAAAAATAGTATCAATTTTTATTTTATTTTTAAGAATTAAATTTTAAAGTTTTATAGTATTGTGTGTATTTAGAACTTGATATAGTAATTTAATGTGTAAATCTCTACAGTACTACAATTTGCGGCACAGTACCATATTTTAAGATAAACGCTTTCGGATACAGTACAAACTGTAGAGGAGGGTGTGCAGGTCAATTTACCTCCAATTAGGTTTAGAAAATCGCTTAGGAGAAAAGGTCACCGCCATTAAAGTAAGTTTATTTAATTTTCGTGTTTTTTTAGTGATCCTTTACCTGTAAATATTTGTATTTTTACGGGGAAAAGTTCGAACGAGCGTGACTCAACTTACGTATTTCAAAAACATGTTCACTATTTGAACCT